AGCAAAGGGGGATGTGGGGAGACGAGGGCAGCTGATGCTTTTCACCCCGTCGGGGTCGGCTGCAAGGGTGAGGGTGGTGGAGGGCGAAGGAAGGGAGAGGGGAAGGGGGAGGGAGATGGGAGGGACTACCCTGTGACTAATTGCAACAGAGTGAGTGATGCTGGGCGGGGTGGGGGAGGGGCCCACTCCAGGGGCGGGCGGTAAGGGCTGCCACCCGCCTCATCCCTCTCTGTAGTTGTGGTGGTAATGGTTTTCGGTGGTGGAGGGGGTGCGCTGCGCGGTGCGGTGACGGTGTTGATGTTGCCGCTTGGTGGTGCGCCGGCGCGGTGATGATGGTGGTGGTGATGAAGGTGACGGCGGCGGTGCTGGAGGCTGCCGCAGCCGGCGCCGCAGCGCGCCTCAATGTCACCGGCAGATTGTGGGCCAGGGGGTGCGGGCTGTGGGGGGGACAACGTGTCGTGTTTCAGTCCACGCATTCCGGAGCCTCCGTGCGCCGGCCCTACTGCGCTGCGGAGCGGACGACGACGAGCCATGCACCGAGCCTTCACCAATAACATGGTACAGTATGCCACATCACGCACGATAGAAAAATATTTCAGGACGGGAAACACTTAAAAAACGAAGGTGCCAAGTTCCGCCTTTAAAGGGCACAAAAAGGTTTACTAAATTTACAAAGGCACTGGAACTGCGAAAGGAACTAATTTGTAGCACCTTTAGGGCTTTGTAGTGCCTTTACAGACGAGCTACACTGAAAATATATGGAGCTCTCCAAGAAAGGCACAACATAGCACCTTTAGGTTCCAGTGAGCTCTACAGATCGCCTGACACCAGGTCTGAATAAGTTATTAGCGAAGATAAAATGAAACGAATTGCTCATAAAAACAACTTCTTTAGTGTGTACGTGTGTTTTGTTTAATACATCGAGAAGACATATGATAATGATGTAACACACAAAAAAGGATAGGTGCGGCGGTCACATGTTTGACGTTGTCCGACATAAAAACACCACTACCTCTTTATCACGGCGGACACGAGCACCCCCTTCCCCCCCTCTCTCACCCCCGTCCATGCCCGGATGTTAGGCCGCTCTGAAAAATGTTCTACAATCCTCGGGTGCAAAACCCCAGCGACACACGAGCTGGGCGCCACCACTTGTCCCCGCCACACCGGCCAACCGGCCACGGCCACCCTCCCATCACACGAACGACGCGCACAAAAAGTACTTAAATGTTGAAGTCATACCTGTGCACGTCCGGGGTGATGTGCGGCGGGTGGTGCAGCCTGGTGACCACCTTGTTGTCGGCCTGCTTCACCACCGTGTTGTGCAGCTGTTGCTCGCGCTCGCGGTCCTGGAAGAAGCCCGGCTGCTCGCCCACCAGGTTCCAGTCCACCGGGCCGCTGAAATACCTGTGCACCAGCAACGAAACGAATAAGTAATTATTGCAAAGACCCGCGACTTTGAGTTTGTCGGAGTAGCACAGCAAAATGTAATAAATTAGAGGTAGAAACAGTGGAAAGGCACAGAGAAGTGTGGGGATGGAAAGAGAGTGCAGAAAACGAGGTACTCTCCCTTTCGTCACTGCATTCCAATCTCTCTCTCTCTCTCTCTCTCGCACAGACACACACACACACACACACTCTCACTGCGCGCTCAGAGATCAAAGACGCCAAGTCTAAACACTGGGCTCCAACACGCATGAGGCCGGTGTTGTGGAAGAGGTGAAAAGGCGTAGCCAGCGTCATAAACGTAAACGGACGGACAGGTCGCGTTCTGCTTTCCTACGTTTGCGCATCATTCCTCTGGGCGATAGCGGGAACGGGGCGTTTGCCGTCCGCCAGCCCAATGCCCATCCACACACACACACGGACTCACGCACACGGGCACGCCACCGCCTCGAGGCCACGCCACGGGTCCACCGACAATATTTGCTCTGTGGTAGTGGAAGAAGAAGGACGCCACATCCGCGCGAGCGGGGGAAGGTGAACAAACGTCAGATGAGACCCCGCTGGACCGCGCCGAGCTAGGGATGCTGGGAAAATAGCCGACGGCGTGAGTTTTCGTACACGCACATGACATATGAAGTCTACGACTGCGGCCCGTCTTATCTGCCGAGATTTTTTTTTTGTTTGGGTCCCGCTTGTCCTTGTTTGAATAGCAGGAAACTTTGTGGGAGGCAGACGGTAGGGTGGGGTCGCGGTTGGGTCGCGGCGCAGAGGCGCACGGAGAGAGAAGGGAGTGAGAGCGAGCGAGACCAAGGGAGAGCGGGAGGCAGAGAATATGCGAGTAAATGATGATGCTACGTGCGTGTGTATGTGTCCAGCTGACGATGAGCGATTCACAAAAGCAACGCCGCGGCCCGGAGCGTGAGCCCCGCCCCTCCCGTGTGCGACACTCTTTTCGGGCCACTTCCGTGGAAAACACGTATGTGTGTATGTGTGTGTGTGTATAAGTGTGTGCGAGAGATGTGTGTGTGTGTGTGTGTGTGTGTGCAGCACTCGGGCTAAATGGGTCGCCGGCCGGGGTCAGTAGGATGAAATGGAATGGCAGAGAGCGGGAAGGCAATCCCAGCCAACAAGGGCACTTTCAGCGGCGGCAGCAGCAGCCGAAATGTAAATCACCCCGAAAACCTGCCGAAACAACCTAAAGTCTGCAACACTTTTCCTCGCGTCGTTCAATAAATTATTTTCAACAAAAGGGTTAGTCGTTCTTCTTTTTTCCGTGGAACCAAGTGAAAGGCGGTGCTTTTACCGGCGCTATTGTATGTTGGTCCCCCAGCCAACAGATTCTCGCCTAAACGACCAGTACCCGTGGTACTCGCATAGAGCTGACTCACCCGAAGCTCCCGGCGCAGGGGCGGTCCCTGCAGGCCTTGACGCGCGGCAGCGTGGAGGCGGCAGCTCCCGGGGGCGGCAGGCCGTGCGGCGGGCAGTGCGGCGGCGGGCAGGCGATGGAGCCCGGCGGCCCCAGCGACACGCTGCCCCCGCTGTAGCCCACCATCTGCTGCTGCTGCATCTCCTGCTGCTGCAGCATCTGCTTCTTAGTGCTGCCGCTGCTGCTGCTGCCTCCACCGCCGCGGCACGGCTTGCAGCAGGCGTGGCTGTAGGCGAACTGGAAGGTGTCGGCCAGGAAGGAGCCCAGGTTGGAGAGGCACAGCAGCATCAGCGGCACGCCCACCAGCGCGTACAGCATCGTCACCACCTTGCCCTCGGCCGTGCGCGGCGCCAGGTTGCCGTACCCTGAGCCAAACAAACAAACAACTATGGTTAAAATTTAACAACTCTTTTCAATGAAGACCTGATTAAAAATTCGACTTTTCCAAGAGCGGCCTCATTGAACTCCTCCCCCGTCCCCCCTTCCTCCCCCCCGCGGCCGCGACGCCGCCGTTTTGTCGCGCGAATCGCTGCTGCGAAACCTTTTAGCGTTATCAGCGCGCATCGCCACGCGGCATGAATAATATGTCACAGGCTGCATTCTGTCGGCTAAATAGCCGCTCGCGAGGCGCGGGGAGAGGGGGAGGAGGAGGGGCGGGAGGGTCTGCTCTGCTTTCCCCCCTCCACCCTCTCAGCACACCAAAGGCGCACAAAACTACTAGCAGCACGGCCTGCCCTCACCTCTCGACATGTATGTAGTAGTCCCCTCTCTCCTGCCCCTTCGCCCACGGTCCACTGCCGCAAACGAAGGGAAAGAGCGTTGGGCAAAAACGAGAGAGACGTGGAGTACAAATTTAACTTTGAGCTAAGGAATAAGCTCGATCTTTCATACTTCTAGTATCTGCCGTATAATTGTGGTGAAACCACCCAAAACAGAAAGTAGGCCCGTCAGGAAACTGACAACCACGGCCAGTTTAGGTTCTCATAGCGCCTGGGTGGTAGGCAACATCTCGCCTGCTGTGCATGAGTGTACTGCGGGCTGGCCTACCCCGAGTCTTACAGGCGCCGACACTGTTAGAAATTTCATATCGTAATTTGACATTGAATGCTCTCTTAATTTTTCTACAAAATCTCTCATTCTTGCTGTAACACATCCATTTGTACAGGGGAGATCGGGGCTACTTCACTACTGCACTTCAAACTGCTAGCAAAGAATAGGTTCGTATTGCAAACTATTTTCTTTGCAGCTTGCAAAGAATTTTCAAACATTGTAATCGGAACTAGTTCTTCGCAAGCTTGCAAACTACTTATTAGCAAAGCAAACACATTGTTTGCAAGGATTCTGACAGCTTGTAAAAAACACGCAGTTCCTATCCCTGTAGTGGAGAACTGCGTGGATCTCGGATCTAGCGGCTGAACTGCGTGGAGTTCGGATCTAGCAGCCGAACTGCGTGCCTTTTATTCCAAGGTGTTGACGTCGCTGTATTCAGGCAAGGGCAATCACGCTAATTGTTACAGTGTTTCTTGTTTGTAGTAAGTAACATTACACTATTGGGTTTTCACTTAAGACAGGGTGGTCTGGCTGACGGTCAAAGGAAAGGTAGAGCTGGCATATCTGTGTAGCGCTACAGCGGGCCTAGCTAGTTGAATATGTTAAAAGAAAAGCTTGGCTGGAAGTGGGTGGGAGTGTTGTGTTGTGCACGTAAGACTAGAATAAAAAGAATGACCGCCTACCCTCCAGCTGACGGGGAGCACTGCCCATGGACCTGCTGCCCGTCATTCATATACGACCAGCGACTGCCGAGAGATTGAGCGCAGGCCGTAAGTCACAGCCAACTCCGCTCAGTAGGCCATCGGTCCCGCCATCTCTTTCTAGCCAGTGCGGGTATGCAACGCGGGGGGGGGGGGGGGGGGAAAAGGGGGGGGGGGGGGGGGGAAACGGGGGGGGGGGGGGGGGGGAGCAAAAGGGTGAGAGCGAGAGCGACAACGGGAGGGAGCGCGAGGTGGATGGGCGGGGAGAGAAAGAGCGGGTGGTGCAGCAGTGCATTCACAAACTTGGGTGCCCATCGGAGGCACAGCGCAGCCACCCGCTCTCCGCGCCGCCCGCCCGCCCGGCTGGCTGGCTTGTTTCGCCATGTTTGCTCTTCCTAACTCGCCCTCCTCCCCCGCAGCCGGCCGTGGAGAGCTTAGAGCCAGTTCATTATGTCCTGTGCGCAATTCAGCCCACTCCACAGCTTTTGCTGAAATCTAAAATAAATAAAGTTAAACGTTGATAAATGGATATAATCCGTGTGGAATGTGGTGTGTGGTGGGAATGTTACTGGACGAGTATGGGAAAATTCGATACAAGTGAAAAATCACGTAAGCTTTCACTGAGATATTTTTACCAATAGTAAGACTGGTTCCTACTTTGCTGATCTTCACTTTACACGGTTTTTGTTTTTTAGCCGGCGAACGGCTTGCTGATATACGTTATTTGAAATAGAGACATATGTATATTTTCTGTAACGATGAGTTACCGACTGCATCCTACCCTTCCGGTAAACAACAGATCGTATACATACAAAAAAACGTAGGATTGATCTGGGGTTGATTCAGCATGTGCGGTCTCGAGCGAGATACAAATTTTCGGAATGTATTTTTCTAACCTCATATTTTTCATCGTCTTTAATGAGGGTAGGATTTGCCGTCGGCGATCTGATGCCCAGGAGTGACCGTTCAGAAAGATGCGCTGGAACTTTCTTCTTCCCTGGCTTTAAGTCCCTCTATAGTGGAACAGGACAAGCATACGCCAGACGGACATCAGATCGATAACCTAAAGCAGCCCGTTTAGTTGTTTTCCAAAGCAGAGGCGGGCATGTCTGGCTACATCTTCATATTGCTCCACATGCGTTTGAAGTATGGTGCCCGAGGAAAAGTAAATGCGTGAAAAACGAAATGTTCTCACCTATGGTGGTGATGACGGTGACAGAGTAGAGCAGGGCTCCGCTGAAGGACCACTGGCGGTCCTGGTCCTGCGGGTCCTTGCCGTCGTAGCCTTCCACCTTGGTGGCCTCCACGACGCGCGTCTCGAAGCGGCGCAGCTGCTCCTGGGCTTGCTGCGTCCAGTTCTCTTGGTACAGTACGTTGAACCGCTCTGCAACAGCAAAAGAAAAGGCGCGTTAATGCTATGCTCTCTGTCGACAGAACGTTTCCATCGAGTTGGATGAAAACAATTATGACAGCAGCAATATTTATCAATACGCAAAAGTAGACATCTGGCGAGAAGTGCTTTTCAGTTGATTTTTCCACTATAAAGGATTAAAGGCACAACTTTTATTTTCGGTGCTGCTGCCAACTCGATTTCAACTTGTGGGAGGTCGAGTAACTTCTACCTTCGCACGCTGATGCAGCACGGCACACGGACCCCCCACGACGTGCAAGCAGGAGCCCTCGGCATCACCATGCCTCGTCAATTCGAGGTAAATGGCGTAGGCGTCTTATTGCCGTCCCAACGAGGAGGCCTCCCGGCCGTGCGGCGACGTGCGCCCGACAGACTTCCGCTTTGATCCGTTTCCTAAATGTGATTAGACCGTAGGCAAGGCAGGCAGGGAGGCAGCGGCGGCAGTCGCCCGGCCCCCGCGCACTCATCCCGGAGGGAATGAGACCGGCGGAGAGGAAACCCGGTTTAATTCGTTTCGGGCGTTGTGCACATCGGGCAGGCGCGGAGGCGAGGCGGCGGGGCAGCGGGGCCTTTGACTTGACATTTAAGTAGAGCGAGCACCCCCCGCCTCCACCCCTCCTCGGCCCTGTTTACGCAGAAAGCCACACCACCGCCGCTACATGAATTCCTTTTTTTCCCTCACGCCGGAGTTTCGCATAATGTTTCGACGATTACTTATACTCTCTTCCTTTCCAACAGAGAAACAGGCCTTGCTCCGCTCCTTTCTCCCCCACTGTCACCCCCACCCGGCCCGGCGCGCGCCCGCCGGTCCTCTTTGCGGTCTCTGGCACCTACCTCAAGTAGTATGTAAACTTGGCACTCTTTCTTTTGTCAAGTCCCCGCGCGCAGTAAGTCTCGTTCCAGGGAGGTGGGGTGGGGAGGGGTTCGGGAAGCGGGGTAAAGTGGGGTGAGTAGGGTGCCGTGGGGTGCCCTGGGTGGAGCGGGCCTGGGGCGCTCCCGGGGCAGCTGCTGCTGCTGCTGCTGCTGCGAGGACGCGCCGCAAGCCAAGACTCACTGTGGGTAATTAGTATCCCCGGCGGGTTGAGCTGATCCGGCCCCAATAAGGATCCGTCCG